GTGTATGAAAACATTGCTATAAATAGTCCAGAAGAATAAATTATGTTTTCATCAGTTGCAGCATCCGTAATTTTGTTGAACCAATCCCACTAAAAGGTAGCTTCTGTATGCTAAGAAATAGCATCAAATCATATATTGATTTAAGATAATAAAGATTAAATTATCACTTTTATTTTTTAAAAACTTCAATGCACAGTTATAAAAATAAAACAAAACAATGATGAAAATACTATTGAAAAGAATATTAAAATTATAATTAACATACTGTATCTATATATAATTAAAAGAAGAGAAATTAAAAATATAATTTAAAATAATATATTTAGGTATGGTAGGGGGGCTGACCCATGTATGGATATACAATTCGATCGATAAATTTCATTTGATATTCTTAGTCGAAGGTAAAAGCCTGCTTTGGATCACCTGTGATTAAACGAAACCTTATTACGGTTAATTTGTTGGCTTATCAAAATTGTTGTTATCTCAGTATTTTCTTCCTAATTCTAAAATATTCACCGCTGTTTTAAATAACTGGTTATATAATAATAATAATGTGATTGAAATTGAACCATAATAAATAAAATAATTATCATTGAAATAAGTACAATTTAAACGTAATTAAGCGCCTACATAATGACATACACAAACACACATGAAAATGATAAAATATGAATGAATGATGATTTATTATTGGATAAAAATAAAACAGGAGAGAAAGGAATTTACAAACTAGACATGTTTTTTGAATAAATAAATTTGGGGGGGTCAGAAAAATTTATGGGGGCCAAAGATTCCTGGGGGCCAGGTTTAAATGCCAAAGATTTTTCCTGGGGACCAGGTTTGGGGGCCAAAAATTGGCGGGGGCCTGCCTCCCCGCCCCCCCCCCGTGGCTATGGCCTGCACAATTTATACTGCTAAAAGTTACATACCATCTATATAATTGTTATTTAATTTGATTACAATTAAAATTTCCAATTATCTTTACAATTTAAATATTTCAATTATCTTAACAAATTTTATATTCAAATTAACTGTTTATTTTTAAAATTATAAATAACTTTTCCTTTTCAATACACGTATTTGACACCCCTTCCCTTAAATCACCTAAATCCATTCTGAACTACCAATACAGGATAGCTAGATAGAGGTGATGACTGATTCTAAGACATACTCCTAAATACTTCTTTACCATAATATGTAAAAGATCTCTAATAATGATAACGCTCTCTTATAACGATTCTGACCTCTAACGGTACCAATCTCTTGTCACAATAACAATTTCTTGTAAAGATAATGATTTCTTGTTAAGATAACGATTTCTTGTAATAAAGATCTTTTATACGATAACTACTTCTTGTATCTTAACGCTCTTGTACCGATAATGATTTCTTGTAATGATAACGATCTCTTGTAACGAATTTATTTTAGCTATAACGATCTCTTGTACTGATAACGATCTCTTATAATGAATTTCTTTTAGCTATAACGATCTTTTATACTGATAACGATCTCTTGTAATTCTAACTATAGCTACTAAAATTTGCTCTTCCGTTTATTCTAAGACTAACGATAGCCACTAAATTTGCTCTTCCGTTTCTTCTAAAACCATTTGCCTGGATATTGATACAATTGTTTCTTTATCTTGATTATTCTTATTCTTTGTCTTAAGGTCTATGGTCATTTCATAAATCTCCTCTCCATCTTTTTTTAGAATTTACTATTTTGAGAATTAATAAATAAGGCACCAATTGTTTAAAACATTAGTGATAATTATGAACAAGAATTGAAGATGACAAATTACTTTATTAAAATAATATAGTTAATCAAAATCATTCTAAAATAACATATAAAACGTAAAAATATAAATCAAAGTAAAAATTATAAAACTTTCCCTTTTATTTTTTCCTGAATTATTACATTTTCAATTTCACTATTTATACTACTAAAATTTACATATCATCGATAATTTCATATAATTGTCATTTGATTTGACTACAACTTAAACTTCCAATTACCTTTACAATTTAAACATTTCAATTATTTTAACAAATTTTTTATTCAAATTAACTGCTTATTTTTAAAATTATAAATAACTTTTCTTTTTCAATACACGTATTTTGACAGTATGATTTATATAATAATTCGTTTTAAAATTTAAAAAAAAATTCAACATTAAAAAAATTTTATAATAAGAAAAATTTTGATTTATAAATATTTAAATTAATGTTTAAAAAAGTTCATATACAAAATAAACAATCCAAGATTTAAAAAATTAATGATGAAATATTGCATAAAATGTAAAGAATAAATAAGGAAAAGTAAGTCTAGCGAAGTTCTATGGAGGGAAAACTGCCATTGAAGCTTATATAATTAGCTTTAAGAATAGCTGCCAGTATTGCAGACCTAAATCCTTGAAGAAGGATAATGCAGGCTAATATGAAGGTGAGTAAAGTATTTTATATAAAAGTATATTTTAGACGTTTATAGCAATTCTTGTATTTTTTAAAAATATTATTCAAAATTTTTTCCAATTTTATATATCTTAATATTGATTAGTTAAATAAAATTTTAACCTAAGATATTTCATTTTTTTTTTCAATTTTATCCATTAATTTAAAGAAATGTTTAACATTAAATAACAAAGAAAAATTTAAATTGTAATAAAAAATACCTGGAACTTCATTTATTTATGGATTAGAGAGAATAAAGAAAATAATTAAAATGCAATTTGTATAATATGCAATACAATATTTAATATCAGCCATAGAAGAGTCCATGATGTAAAAAGAACATTCAACATGGCAAAATATGTCCAATTTAAAAAATAAGGAATCATCAAATAATATCCGATACATTAAAATAATTTATGTGAGATATTACTGCAATAGCCGAAGCGATTCCATCACACGATAAAATATTTGATTAGTTATTTATTTACAGATTGCACTACAGATTCATTGTCTATTTTCTCTGTTGCAAAAATAAAATGTGGAAGAACATAGTCTCAATAATGTTAATATTCTAGGTCCTGAAATTAATATGATTTGAAGGAAAATCATCCCTTTTTATTAGTGGATGCATCAAATAATGAAAATACTAAAAGATTCCCAATAATGCTGCGCTATTTTTAAATAAAGAAAGAGGCCTTTCAAGTAAATTTTTACAAAAAAATCCATCTCACTCTGAGAAATCGAAGGATATTGCATGAGCTAGTGCAGAACCTTGAAAATTCTAATCTTTCACTATCAAATGTAACAGCCATTTGTGCCAATAACGCGAGTGTGAATTTAGGTAAAAGGCCAAGTGTAATGACCGAATTAATTAATTTTGAATAAATACATTATCCCCCTTAGTTGCTTGTGTCATACAATTAACAATGCAGGAAGAAAGGGGCATGCTTTATTATCTATAGACATGGAAATAGTTTTTATGAAATGTTCAGAATTCATTGGATCCACAAACGTAGGGTATCCGTTTTAAGAAAAATTGGCGATTTTCAAAATATTGAGTAGTCAGAACTTCTATGAAGTGTTTCAACAAGAACACTATCATTATTACCGGCTCTCGAAAGACTTTACAAAAATTAGTAAACTGTTAAATCCTATCTTTTATCCCCAAAAAATCCCAATTCAATATTTAACTTATTTTTCGAAAACAAGTTGACCGAGGTTTAAATATATTTTTATATTAAGGATATCATATTAGATGGATTATTTCAAGAACATAATTGCTATATAAATTCATTCATAGAACAAAATAATTATATATCACATTTAGCTCACGAAAATAAATGGGTACTTTTTTTTAAAGAACAATTCATACTTAATCCTGGATGTAAAGGCGGAATGGTGAACCAATGGCTATTGGTCTGATATCTTTGTTAGGCTTCTGTAAGGCAATAAATCTAGCTCCAAAGAGAATGGGTGAGACAAGCTGGGAACATTCCCAAATAAGATTAGGTGGCAAAAGCTTGTGATTCAAGAAAGGATGGATGTTTGTGAGCTGATCAATGTAGGTTATATCCTGGAGGAATATGAGTTTGATCCCATCAAGACCATGAACGGATTGAAGGTGGAAAGATAGGATTGTTTTCCTTACTTCGTCTGAAGTTAAATCCGAAGAACAAATAAGATTGTTGAGTGATTTGTGTTGAAGTGGAAGAGAGATGTGAAAGGAGTTATATATAGACCAGGGTCAGTTAGTAAATCATAAGTAGAAGTCAATTTGAGAAATATTTTAATATTTAGATAGTCGATTTTCTTTGAAATAAGTTTGTCTTTATTCACTAGAAGATTTTTAAAAAAATCATGAGACCCTTAAACTCTTGAAGATGGGGAGAAACGTTGTAGGCTGCATCTTTAATCTGTCGAGTTAACGTAATTCTTGAGGATTTGTCAGATAGCTGAAGGTGTTATTACCAAAAAATAGAAATTTAGGCCATTCCGTCTCACTCACTGTATGTTTATGTGAATAGATAACTTGGTGAAAAAGAACTCATATTTTGTGGGCTTTTTGTTCCATTTACTTTCAGCTCATTAAAGTATATTTTTATAATTCGCTTTTTTTATAATTATATATAAAATTGATAAAATTTAATATTTAAAAAAATATATTGAATTATCATTAACTAGAAGACGATAAATTTTATTTATAATAATCTTTAAGACAGGTTTAGATCTTCGGTTCGAATTCCTGCTTTTAACTAAGAAAAATGAAATATCGTTATTGGACATTATAATTAATTACATATGACTGCAATAACCAATGACATATCAGACATACCTGCCAACCCTGCATGACAAATATTTGCAGATTAAGGCCCTTCGAATTATATGAAAGAGCCCATAAAAAGTTATCTGTAAGGTAGGGGGAGTTTATGTATGATACTCCTCTAGCAATGAGATATTAATTCGCTAATTTTAACGATTCTTTCCATGTTATGAGCCCAAAGCTAATAAATGTACAATAAATATTAAAACAAATATTGGAAAACACTTAACCATTATGTCGACGCCTTCCGCAACTTTTAAAAGTTCAGTGTTTCCCACATTTTCGATATTTTCATTCTTAGACAAAGCTTTTTCGAGATTATTTTCCATCCCCTCCTTTTCTTCATCATCATCTTCGGAATCGAAGTGGAGTTCTTTTAAGCCGAGTTCATCAGCAACTCCTATAAGTTCGGTCTCGTAGTCTTGCAACTCTTCCATAGGCTCAGTCAAACTCGGGTCATCTTTATTACGTACTTGCGAATCGTGTTTACTAGAGGAGTGAGTTGATTAAGTTAATTGTAAAATCAAAGTTTGGTTACATACACGGGTATTAATATCATTTTTACTCAGGGTAATATGACATTTCGCGAAAATCCATTCAAGAAATATAAAAAATTGTAAAAAAATATATAAAATATTGATGATAATAAAATAGGGTAAGTATCAGGTAGTTACTCAAAATACTTATTGTTTTCGCATTAAAATAAGGAAGCAACATTAATGATGTTGGATATACTATAAGAATGAAGGCTTAAAATCAAATCTTCCAATATTAGAAGAACGTAAAATTTAAATATTTGATATTAATAGCAGACAAACTCTATTGTTTTAATCTACCATTTATGCGTTCTAAAAACATATGAAAGTATGAAAGCATTAATTTACGCGATATTTTTGTTGGCATTATTAGGGGCAGTCGGCGAATAAGAGGAATCGGATGAAGTAGATGACATGTAATCCATTTCTTGGCCTTCCACGTCACCATCGTCAGATTCCTCAAGGGGTTCGTGCTCTTCGTCCTTTTCTTCTTCCTCCTTTTTTTTCATGCCTTTGTGTTGCAATTTCTTTGATCGGGGTTTACTTTTCGAACCATCCTTAATTGTTTCTGAATCTTAATTTTATAAAATAGTTATAATATTTTTTACTACTAAATACTAAGGCCGTGTCCTGGCTCGTCTTATTTTTAAAAATAATTTATGTTTCGACCAATCTATTCAGAATATGAACTACTTTTTTGGTTTGTTTAAGTATATTAACTAGTCTTTTTTTTAATGAAGATTTATTTGAGTGTATCCTAACTGTTCTTAATGTTCGTATTAAATATAGTGAAAAATGAGCAGTAAATAAAATTAAAAGACAAAATGTTGTTCAATTTAGAAATAATATAGTGAATGCAATAAAGTTAATTGCTATCTTTAAACATTCAGAATTGTGTTTTTATTATATAGAAGTGTTTGAACGACACTCTGGTATGGTAATGGTATATTAGGTAGAGTGACAACACAATTCACATTTGTCATATTATATAGCAATTAAAACAATTTTTTAATAGCCATCTAGTCGAGTTGTATTGATTTGTTGGGTTGATAATTTGAAGGTTTGGGGTTCAATGGATTGGAGAAAAAAAAATTGATGTTTACTTTTTGAAATAAATTTGATACATAATCATGGAACTATAAAAAAATGAATTTAATTATTAACTATTTACCTGAAATCAAAGTTCAGCAAAACCCGGCCCGTAAACCTTAAAAAATTATAACGGGTCAGGTCGGGCAACAAATTAAACAAGTGGGGCAATTAGTATATAAAAAAATTTTGAGCCATAAAATTCAGACATAAAAAAATTGGGTCGAGCCTCGCAAATCTCTGATTTTGAAGATTAATATTCTTTGAAATAATAATAATGAGCCAATTTCCTCTAAGATCTGCTTAACTAAGTTAAATTTATAAATATTTAAAAAAATACATTCAGAATTGTGTTTTTATTATATAGAAGTGTTTGAACGACACTCTGGTATGGTAATGGTATATTAGGTAGAGTGACAACACAATTCACATTTGTCATATTATATAGCAATTAAAACAATTTTTTAATAGCCATCTAGTCGAGTTGTATTGATTTGTTGGGTTGATAATTTGAAGGTTTGGGGTTCAATGGATTGGCGAAAAAAAAATTGATGTTTACTTTTTGAAATGAATTTGATACATAATCATGGAACTATAAAAAAATGAATTTAATTATTAACTATTTACCTGAAATCAAAGTTCAGCAAAACCCGGCCCGTAAACCTTAAAAAATTATAACGGGTCAGGTCGGGCAACAAATTAAACAAGTGGGGCAATTAGTATATAAAAAATTTTGGGCCATAAAATTCAGACATAAAAAAATTGGGTTGAGCCTCGCAAATCTCTGTAATATTCTTTGAAATAATAATAATGAGCCAATTTCCTCTTATTTTATATAAGATCTGCTTAACTAAGTTAAATTTATAAATATTAAAAAAAATTATTCCCTATTTTAGAGAAAATTCTAGGCAGCAGAACATATCATAAAACCTTAATGGGCCATCCTGGGCATTAGAATTTTGATATATTATTTTGAATTTCAATCTAATAATTTTATTAATAATCTTTGAAAATAAATTACAATATGTGTATTTCTTTGTATTTTATGAGTCTTTAACTAAAATATTTAATCCAGGTGAACAAAAATTAAAGTTATTTATGTGTATCAATTAAAAAATACACAATAAAGATATCAAAACACAATTGATTATTTTTATTTTTTATAGATTATTAATGGCGATTTAAAATATTCGGTTTTAAAAAATATTGCCTAGTTTTTTAATAAATTTTAGGACCGGCTGGGTATATTTAAAAAAATTAAAATAAGGCCCGGTCCCTGCAGGTCTCTGATTTTAACAATATACTATCAAAATTAAAATGTATATAGAGAACAGTGATATTAAAATAAAAGATATAATAACTCATGAGAGCCATGATAATTCATAAGAAAGATCTCAAATATATTAAATACATTTAATTAGACATAAAAAAGAATGTTATCTAAATACATTTAAAATAATAAATGATATAAAATTCTATGAATTCAAGAGGATGCATATTTCACCGTATAATTATATTCAAAATATAATTGAACCATTATTGCAACACAAATCTGATAAATATGCAATCAAGGATGATGACTGGCTATTACTATTTTATGGTAATTTTTGTGTAGTTTAGTGTAAAAAAAAATTCTTTATCCAGGGGGTTATGAAATATTTTTGGGGATACGCCCATCAGCCCTCATTTTCGGAGCCTTTGATTGGGTCCTACCTCTGATTTTACTAATGATTAATTTTTTTATTTTGATTTTTTAAAATATATAATATCACATTATATTATCTCCGTTAAATTGGTTCAACAATTACACTAATTCTAAAATATATGCAAATTTTTAGTGTTTTATTAGTGCATATGAGTGCTTTTAACCAGTATTAGACCAGTATAAAGGAACAAATTATTAACAACAATATATGGGCCAAGGATTAAATGTGACTGAAGGCATTTATTCTGCAAATTTTATCAATGTTTGGTGCTTAAATATATACTATTTAGGTCCGTTTGATAAACATATAAAGAAAGAGGCTATCAGCAAAATAAAAAAAAATTGTCAAAATTGGCGTCCGAGAATTGAAAATATAAAACTAAATTACACTAATATTTGGTGCTTAATTCCCAAATCACCGCAAACCAAAAAAGAAATCAAGTTATTAAGATATTAAGTTCCAAACGTGAAATGAGCCAAGCTTTTGGGACACTCATTCTGAAACTTATATCAAACCATAACGTAACTAGTAAATTTTATTGCTTTAACCTGTTTGGTAGACGATTTTAAGGGAGAAAAAATTATTAGTAAATTTAGAAAAAAATTTCAATAATCGGCATCAAGTTAAAATGGAGAATGAAAGTTTTAATAAGCGAATTATAAAACTTTTGGAAGCATTAACTTAACATTGACAATTATATCAATAAATACTGGGTATTTATTATATTTTAGTGCTTCAACCCGCTTGGTAGATAATTTAAAGGAAAACGCATTATTGGCAAAAGAAAAAATTACCAATATTGGTATCATGCTAGAACAAAAATTATATATCTAGGTCCGCCAATATATAATTTCTGATTAGTACTTACTGATTTATCAGGTTTACCAATTAATAAATAGAAATTAGCTAAAGCCAAATAAAAACTATAACGGCAGCTTAGGCTGCATCTAAAATATCGATTTTAAATTGCTTTTAAGAATCAATTACGACTATATACATTAAGGTTTCTTTTTTTTCCGATTCAAAATATTTTTTAACCTTATGATTCTGATGTTTTATAGGGTATGACTAAATACTGTCTTGCTAAAAAGCAATTAATCATAATCAATCATAATTTGATGATATAATATCTTTAAATAAAAAATTTTTCAAAAACATTTTTTTTATTTTACATAAATCAATTTTTAATTAATTAAAAAATTGATATTTACTTAATATTATTGGAAAAAAAATATATTTACTAGCTTATTACAACCTATATTTTATTTTTCAATTACAAAATTTAACAAATTTATATCCATAAGAGAACGTTAAATACATAAATATGAAAATATATTCTTAGGAAACCAGAATAAATATTGGATAGTGCTTTTTTTGTATTTGGGTGTAAATACATGTGAAAAACCTAAAAAAAATTTAAAAAATAGAGGTTTCTTTGAGATTTAATTAATGAGTAGGTTTAGAAGCGAAAAATAGTAGAAAGTTTGTAAGGAACATATTGCTGGCGTTATTGATCAAAATGTCTTCATTTTTGGTTTATACGTGTATATTTAGGTGTTAAACATTATCCTAAAAAATATTTTGAAAATATTATGATTTGACCGAATGCCGGGCTTAAAACCGACCAATTACTAAATATTCGATAGGACCAAATTTGGTGTTAATATTATTTGGAAAATAATCATTTTTGGTTTATTTATCTAAAAATAAGTGCAAATCATTATCCCGAAAAATATTTTAAAAATATCGTGATTTGACAGAAAACCGATTTGAAACCGGCCCAATGACTAAATACTGTCTTGCTGGCGTTATACATGGAAAATTCTTTATTTTTGGTTTATACGTGAACAATAACGTTTTAAGCATTATCCTAATTAATTTTTTGAAAATATTATGATTTGACCGAATGGCGAACTCAAAACCGACCACTTACTAAATATTCGATCTACCAAATTTGGTAGTATATTATTTGGAAAATGTTCATTTTTGGTTAATTTATCTATAAATACGTGCAAATCATTATCCCAAAAAATATTTTAAAAATATCGCGATTTGACCGATAACCGATTTGAAACCGAAATACTGTCTTGCTGGTGTTATACATAGAAAATCTCTTCATTTTTGGTTTATACGTTTATATTTAGGTGTTAAACATTATCCTAAAAAATATTTTGAAAATATTATGATTTGACATAATGCCGAGCTTAAAACCGACCAATTACTAAATATTCGATCAACCAAATTTCGTGTTAATATTATTTGGAAAATAATCATTTTTGGTTAATTTATCTATAAATACGTGCAAATCATTATCCCAAAAAATATTTTAAAAATATCGTGATTTGACAGAAAACCGATTTGAAACTGGCCCAATGACTAAATACTGTCTTGCTGGCGTTATACATGGAAAATTCTTTATTTTTGGTTTATACGTGAACAATAACGTGTTAAGCATTATCCTAATTAATATTTTGAAAATATTATGATTTGACCGAATGGTGAGCTCAAACCCGACCACTTACTAAATATTCGATCTACCAAATTTGGTAGTAATATTATTTGAAAAATGTTCATTTTTCGTTAATTTATCTATAAATACGTGCAAATCATTATCCCAAAAAATATTTTAAAAATATCGTGATTTGACAGATAACCGATTTGAAACCGAAATACTGTCTTGCTGGCGTTATACATAGAAAATTCTTCATTTTTGGTTTATACGTGAATAATAACGTGTTAAGCATTATCCTAATTAATTTTTGAAAATATTATGATTTGA